TTATAATCTCATTTGGGCTGTCTTTGTTAGCGAGACAAGATTAGCGTAGGGTATATTTTGAGTCTCTTACAAAATATAAAAGGAGCAGATTAAGGGAGCAGTGATGAGGGAAGAGAAATGCTACACCACATGAAGGTCACCAAGGAGCCAAGGAAAAGAGATAAGGACCGTCCCATAGAGTTGGCAAAGAGAGTCTGCCCTAGAGCTGGCACCTGAATGTGGACTTCTACCCTCCTACACTGTGAGAAAATAAATTTTTGTTTGTTAAAGGCACTCACTTATGGTGCTTCTGTTATAACAGCACTAGCTATCTAAGACAGTGACGAATAAAACAAAATAAGGTTTACTTCTCCCTCTACTAAAATGATGCCAAATTTTTAAGATCTCATGTTAAAAGCAGAAACTGACTGCAACAACAACTTACAGACAAAGGTGGTAGCACTTTGTCAACAAATTTAAAGGCCTTGCATCTCAAATGTCTCTTAAACTTCATTGAATTTGTACACTGATGTGAAATAAAACCTGTGTAAAAGCCCATTAAGAGCCTGTGTAAATCTGACAGTTGGATCATGAGCACACTTTGTTGATGATGTTAGGCGCCACGGAGTCAGCTATGAATCAGTGAACTCGTATGGAACAGAGGAAGACTTTGCCCGATCCTGCACCATCCTCAACTGTTGGTATGTCAGACCCATTATTGCAGCCACTGTGTCATTCCATCTCACTGAGGAGCTCCTGCTTTTTCACTGACCCTTCAAGTTGCCAGGCACGATGTCCTGCTCTAGTGATTGCTCCTTCCTGACGGCGCTGTCCAAAGTAAGCTAGAGAAACCTCGCCATACTCACTTTTTATTGATTGATTGTGATTTGGGTGAAAGTTTACAGAGCAAATTCATTTTCCATAGGGCAGTTCACACACATTCTGTTTCATGACACTGATTGCAATCCCCATAATGATCAGCTCTCTTCCTACTTCTTCCCTGTGTCCTTCTTTCCTGTGCTTCCCTGCCCTCTGAGCCATCCCTCTGTGCAAATGCTGCCTTTCTGATCTCCCACGGTTGACTGCTGTAAGGAGTGTACCTACCTGGTATAAATGTGTACCTTACATGCCTATCTATTATTTGGCTGGACACTATGGAAGTGAGTTCAATTCCAGGCCCAAAGGATCACTACAGGCCACAGTCTTGGGGGTTTCACCAGTCTCTGTCAGACCAGTAAGCCTGGTCTTTTTTTTTTTTATGATTTGAGTTTTGTTCCACATTTCTCTCTCACTTTATCCAGGATCTACTATTTTGACCCCTTTCTGAGTGGTTGA